ACAGGAATCAGAATAATGGCAAACAATGTAGCTATTATCACAAGCTATACCACATAATAGATGAGTGTTATGCAAAGCACAGCTATCCCCCTTGGTACAAGACCAAAGGTGAAAAGGTGATTAACAACACTATTGCTGAGAATGATGAAACTGTGATTAAAAAGCAAGATCAGCGGTTGAGCAAGGAAGGTAGTCTCTTCTCAGATGAACAAATGCATCAAATCATAAAAATGATTCAAGAAACCAAAGGCGATGTTTCACACAAAGTTAACAACCTAGTGTCTAATTCTACTGGTGAGAACGCTCCTAATGGTAAGAACAAAAACATTACATGGATTCTAGATACAGGAGCAACAGACCATGTTACCTTTGATGTTTCTAATTTTGTGATTTTTAGAAAGATAAGACCGACATGCGTTAAACTGCCAAATGGATCACATATATTTGCACACTATGATGGCACTGTACAACTATTTGATAATTTTTTCTTGCACAATGTGTTTCTTGTACCCGAGTTTGCTTTCAATCTTATTTCTGTGCAAAGGATTGTTAGATCCCATAACTGGAAACTGATTTTTTCCTCTGAGTTGTGCCAGATCCAAGATGCCCATTCCTTGAAGATGATTGGAGAAGCTAAGCTCCAAGAAGGATTGTACCTACTTTAACTGTCAGCCGCAAAGAAGACTATCAATTCCTTTTCCAGCATCACTGAAACACGTAATGGTAACTCAAAGAATCAAGATGGGGGAATTTGACACAAGAGGCTGGAATATCCCTCAGATAAAGTTCTACATCTTATCAGTAAACGTTTTCCTTACATTGTTTTTAGTGAGACCAAACCATGTGATATATGTCATTTTTCAAAGCAAACTAGACTTTCCTTTAGTACTAGTAGCTCGTATTCTGAGCATGTTTTTGATTTGATACATGTTGACATTTGGGGTCCCTATGGCACCACCTCTATACATGGACACAAGTTCTTTCTGACTATAGTAGATGACCACAATAGGTTTTGTTGGGTGTTTTTGATGAAAACAAAGACTGAAACTAGAGATGCTTTATCAAAGTTTGTGCTCATGATTAATACCCAATTTCACAAGAAAATTAAAATCATACGTTCTGATAATGGAAGTGAGTTTATGTGTAGAGACTTGTATGATAATTTTGGTATAATACATCAAACCAGCTGCATAGAAACTTCCCAACAGAATTCTATTGTTGAAAGAAAACATAGACATATTCTAGAAGTTAGTAGGAGTCTCATTTTTCAATCTAATATTCCCATGGTTTTTTGGTCTTATGCTGTTTTGCAAGCTGTTTTCTTAATAAACCGTTTACCTACTAAAATCTTGAAAGAAAAAACTCTTTATGAGTTAGTGTATGAGACCACTCCAAATTTAAATGACGTTAAAGTTTTTGGATCCTTGTGTTTTGCCTCTAGCCTACAAAGAAATAGGTCTAAATTTGATACAAGAGCTAGGAAATGTGTGTTCTTAGGTTACCAAAGTGGAACTAAAGGCTATGTTATGCTGGACATTAAAAGTAGGGAAATTTTTGTTTCCAGAGATGTTGAGTTCTATGAAAAAGTTTTTCCTTATGCCAATCATAATGATCCTGTTTTGCAATCAAATAGTATTTATCAGATATCAGATTTTAATCAATTATTAGAACCTGTCAATTACAACACTGGAAATCTGCAAACTGAACATAGTCAGCCACACATTGAATCTCAAATTGAAAACATTACTAATCCTTTGAGACGCTCTGATCGAAGTAGAAGAGCACCTAGTTTTTTACAAGATTATCATTGTCAACTCAGCTCTCATACAAGCAATAACAACAAATATGTTTTCTATCCTATATCTTCTTGTTTTAGTTACAGTAAACTTTTTTCTTCGCACTTGAAATATGTTCTTGCTGTGTCCACCAATAAAGAGCCATGCTCTTACAGTGAGGCTGTCTATTTTCCCGAATGGAGGAAGGCCATGACAGAAGAAATTCAAGCTCTTGAACAGAATAAGATTTGGGAAATTGTTGATCCACCTCGGGACAAAAAACCCATAGGGTGCAAGTGGGTTTACAAGGTAAAATATAATGCTAATGGTGAGGTGGAACGCTACAAAGCAAGGCTGGTAGCCAAGGGGTATACTCAACTAGAGGGTATCGACTATTTGGATACCTTTTCCCCTGTAGCAAAGCTAACCACCATCAGATTCCTCCTTGCCATTGCCTCTGTCCAGAATTGGTATTTGAAGCAACTAGATGTGAATAACGTGTTCCTCTATGGAGATCTAGATGAAGAAGTTTATATGCTTCCTCCACTAGGATGTGATGATATTAAAAATGGACAGGTCTGCAGATTGAAGATATACCTGTATGGCTTGAAACAAGCAAGCAGACAATGGTTTGCAAAACTCTCATCTCACCTTAAAGCCTCTGGTTTTTCTCAATCTGCATATGATCATTCACTGTTTGTAAAGATATTTGAGACTAACATCACTGTCTTGTTAGTCTATGTTTATGATATTATACTTGCAGGAAACCATCTCTCTGATATTGAACAAATCATGCAATCCCTTGATGACACCTTCAAGGTAAAAAATTTGGGCAATCTAAAGTATTTTATCCGGTTGGAGATTGCTAGATCAAGTGCAGGAATACATGTCTCACAAAGGAAATATGCCTTAGACGTCTTAGCTGACAGTGGTCTCCTTGCGTCAAAGGCTTGTGCTACCCCTATTACCAAAGACACTAGAGGTTTGTTCGAAGATGACACTCCTCTTAAGGACATCACACCATATCAAAGACTAATAGGACGATTTCTTTACCTAACAAACACCAGGCCTGATATCGGATATGCGGTACAGTTTCTAAGTCAATTTATCCAAGCCCCCACAAAAGAATACCACAGAATAACAAGCACCTGGACAAGGCCTCTTCTTTCCCAGTAACTCAAGTCTCCAAATGAAGGGTTTTTGTGACTCTGACTAGGCAACTTGCCTCAACACAAGACGATCCACAACTGGGTTCTGCGTCTTCCTTGGCTCATCCTTAATAAGCTGGAAATCAAAAAAGCAATCTACCATCTCAAGGTCTTCATCAGAGGCAGAGTACAGGGCCCTTGCCACTCTCACTTGTGAGATACAATGGTTGAAATACTTGTTGGATGAACTACAGATTAAACCAAAAGAGCCAGTTGTGGTTTACTGCGACAACCAATCAGCGCGGCACATTGCTTTGAATCCTATCTTTCACGAACGAACAAAACATATTGAAATAGATTGTCATGTTATTCGTGAAAAAGTTCAAGCCAAGCTTTTTCATCCCCTACGTACCAATAACTTCCACACATCAAGCTGTTGATGTCTTTACAAAGGCGCTTGATCCTGACATCTTCAAAACTGTTATATCTAAGCTCGGATTGATTGATATTCACTCTTGAGCTTATGGGGGGTGTTGAGTTTTTCTGTTTTATGTGTATAGTAAGTTTTTTTTTCTATTTTCTAATACTCTATATAAATCATGTATACCCAACGTTAAATAAATATATCAGAAAGTTCTTTTAGAATCTCTCTTTTTCCTTTTCTTCTTTTGTATCTTTTAAGCTATGAAGATGATAAATCATGCAAACTTAATAAATAGACTTTACTTTCTTCGCTCACAAAAATCGATTTTTAAGCACACGAGTTCTCCATGTTATTTTAAAGTTCTTCTTGTATATTGAAACTGATTTCTTATATATTTATCAATTATTTAATAATTTTATCTATTAATGTAATAAAATTAAATTACCTACAAATATCTAAAAATAAAATTTTTAATTAAAAATATTTTTATATTTTAAACAATTTATTTATTTTAATATTTTTTTTAAAATTAATTTTAAATAATAATAATTGCATCAAACTCGTGTAATATAGTACTTCGTTTGGTGGGGATTTTTTTGCTTTATTGGGGAACTCGTGAAACTCGTGTTTGCATATAATAAAGTAGACGCAGTTGTTGCTATTGAATTTATTATTATTTTTTTGACATGACACTTTCTGTGATTTTTTCTCAGGATATTTTTTTAATTTACTTAAATAACTTCCAAATTATTTTACATTAATTATCCAACACTGTTCACAATATGAATTCCATTTGAGAAGAAAATATTCCCCCATAAATTTATTTTCTAAAGAGAAAACACAGAGCCCAATTATTATTAATTATTTATTTTGTTGTTAGATATGATAGAAGGAACTGAAGCATTTACTAACATAAAATATACATGCTTCATGAATTTATTTCACGATAAATTAAAGTTAAAAATGAAATAGCAAATATATTTGACAAAAAAAACACCAATACTATAGATTTCATTTTATTTAAAAAATCATTAATATTTAAAATAATTCAAATTCTTAAAGTTTTACATTTTAAATTTCTTAATGTAAATTATATAAAAATTATATTAATATTAAATTATATTAAATAATTAAAAATATCAAATGGTGATTTTTCTACCTTGATCAAGTTGACATTCTCTTGATTTATATTTTATCCATGTTACGCTTAATTTTAAAAAGTTAAAAACTAAATCTATAATTATTTTTTTTAATTAAAATTGTACATCCCAAAAATATGTAGGAAACAAAGATAAGATTAACTCTAACAATATCATGTTAAATATAAGTAATCAGATTAAAAGTAGAACAAGACATGTGGCAGGTAACAGTGAAATAAATGAAATTTTTTACACTTTTTTCTTTTATGCTTTATATGAACGTGAAAAAAATTAAAGTTCTTTTTATTTTCCATAAAATCACGTTTTAAATGTTATAATTGTAATTTAAAACTTCCTCTTTATCTTTTTATTATTGTATGGCTAAGGTCGAAGTTGAGAAGCCATTTCAAACACAGAATCTAGACGTACAATCCCGTTTTTGTACTATAAATACACGACGCAAGTTCCTCCTTGGCATCACCCATCGATCACACTTCAACCAAACATCAAAGCCATGGCTTCCTTCAACTTCTCTCTTGTCCTCTCCCTCGCCCTGCTGCTCCTCACCCACGCAAACGCAACCAACACCTTCTCCTTCACCATCAAAAACTTCAACTCTCACAACCTCATCCTCCAACGTGACGCCAACATCTCCTCCGGCACTTTACGACTCACCAACGTTAATGCCGCCGGCGTTCCCACGGCGTTTTCCATAGGACGCGCCTTCCATACCACCCCCATCCAAGTCTGGGACAGGTCCACCGGCGCCGTCGCCAGCTGGGCCACCTCTTTCACGATCAATATTTACGCTCCCGACAAGTCAAAGACCGCCGATGGGGTTGCCTTTGCTTTAGTACCCGTCGGGTCTCCGCCCAGAACCTGGGGTGGGTATCTAGGTCTTTTCGACAACTCTAACTACAACAGCTCCCTCCAGACTCTGGCTGTGGAGTTTGACACCTACACCAACGGCTGGGACCCCCAAAACCCTCACATTGGCATCGACGTGAACTCCATCAAGTCTATCAAAACGGCGTCGTGGGGTTTGGCCAACGGGGAAAACGCGAGGATTCTGATTACCTATGACGGCAACACCCACCTTTTGGTGGCTTCTTTGATCCATCCTTCTCGCAGAACGAGCTACATCCTCTCCGAAAAAGTGGACGTGACAAGAGAGCTTCCAGAGTGGGTGAGCGTTGGGTTCTCTGCCACCACCGGGCAGTCAGATGACTTCACTGAAACCCACGACGTGCTCTCTTGGTCTTTTGCTTCCAAGCTCCCAGATGCCTCCTCCTCCACTGATGCTTTCGACCTTGCCAGCTTCGTCCTCCATGAGGCCATCTAGACTCCCACCTCGTGCTTAACTGTGACACTACTACTCTGCATGCAATAACACAATCGTAGCGATTGTTCTTTCTTACTAATAACGTTTATCTGTCACAGAAATAAACAAATAATATCATGCCTTTTCACTGTTCATTGTTGTCTATTATCCTCGACTCCTAATCAACACTTCACAACATTTATAAAAATAGATTCAATCAAGACATAATATACGTTGATTGTTTGAGTCTAAACCATTCCGTCTTAACAAGGTGCATTGGTTTTGATACGGTGTTCATCCTAGCCTTCCTTCTCGTGCTAATCCTGGTACTTATGATTTGAAGGTTTACCAAAATTGAAAATCTCACCGCAGTATCTTGACGTTGGTTCTGGTATATATTATTGCCTGGTGCTTTTTATGGGAGAGCTAATTTTGGTGTTTACGTTGATTATTTAGTACTCGAGCTTTTTTATTTATTAACTTCCTTTATTCTATTTCATTGAACTTAGTTTTGCTTTTTCATTTTAAAAAATAGTTTTAGAAATTAAATTTATAAAATTATTTTTAAAATAAAATAAAAAACTTAATTATTTGATAATTATAATTAATGCTTTTTTTTTCTAATATAACAATTATATTGAAAATTGTTGTCCTAAAACTACACAATATGTCACGTGTTTTTATAATTTTGGACAACAAATTTGATTATAATTCTTAGAACATCATTGATTTTTTTAACCAGTTTATTTAAAATTAAATATTTTATTACGAGTAACATACTTAACTTGCTTAAAACTTGATTCGAATATTTGTATAACTAATTTTTTTCAAATTTAAATATTTTTTTTAATGATTGAGAAATAGGATCTATAATAAAATATTTATTTTTATTCTTAAAAATTATCTCGAGATACTCCAAACAACTGTTGATAAGAACTCCGATTGGATATATTATTAGTCAAAACGCTTTTCACGTGTTGCTTTATTTTTTTTAGAACATTTATAATAGTTTTCAAATATGATATATTCTTTTGAAAATGCATCTTTGACAATCCTTATAATAGTTTTAAAATGTGATGTGTTTTTTTAGACACCCGTTTATTTTAGATATTATTGTAATGTGAAAATATTTTATATTATATAAACAATTAGAAATTTTTTATTCAATTTTTATTCAATAAATAAATAAATGAACATATTAAAGACAATAAAATCAATATTTTTTTAAACTAAAACTGACATAAATAAATCTTATAATACTTAGAACTCTAATTCGATATAATATTCAACTAAAAAACATAAAAGAATAGTTCAATACAGCCTAAACATTTATAATTAAAACTAATTACAACTCAAAATTAATAAAAATATTCAATTTTATTGTTTTTACTCCCTAGTATAGGATGAGCATGCCTTGTACTTTATAGGTCTTGATTGTAGTAAAAAAATTGGAAAGTTACGTGAATGATATAGACAACCACTATATATAATCATGCCGACAATATTGATAAGGAGCCAAAAGTAATGAGGTAATTAATGTAATATTCTCCTTTTTCACGTTTTTCTTTGATTTATTATTCATATAACCACTACTAGTGTGGTTTTCGTTATACGAGTATGAGGTAGTTTTGTTGTTGGTTAAAACTCTTTAAAAGTTATATGTTTTCTAGCAATAAAAGACACCAAACATTATTTTTAACAATCATAAAATATGTATATATACTCATGTTTAAATTTCAAAAAATAAAAACAACACGCCAAATAAATGTTTTTTTTTTAAATTGTAATATATAATTATTTTTCAACAGTTTTAATCTTTTTAATTAATTAATTATATATATATATATATATATATATATATATATAATGTAAAAAATATTTTGTATTACTTTCAAACAAAATTAATTAATGAAATAAAAAACAAGAAAATATAATGAGTGCATAAGAAACATGAGATACATTTCAAAAGTAGAGGGAGAAATAACAGTATATAAATCCCTCTTATAAGGATTCGGGTGAAGATTTTGATTTTAGCTTTAGTATATTCAATTGGCACAAACCACGATATTTTTTTTATTTCCTTTTGTTTCTGGTGGAATTTCGATCGATTTCGACTCCTAAGATATTTTGATCATAATCAAAATTCTACCACGTAAGTTCTTTTTGCTTAGGCTAGCAAATCGATTTTCAATCGAAATGTGTGTGAAGATCGAATTTTACCCGATTTCAAAGCTACTATTTTTGGTGTTTTGTATTAAGGGTACTCGCAGCAGGAAAATATATGGAATCGAAAAGTAGTGCTGAAACTGAGATTGCAAGGCAATGTAAATAACAAAGATCTTAAATTTGCTTTAAGTATAAAAGACAGGAAATTGAAACTGCATAAAGTAAATAACCCAAAAATCGAAATATACAGCAATGTAAAAGACAGGAAATCGAAACAGCAACAATGTAAATATCGAGAAATCAAATTTGCAGGAAAGTAAAGAACAGTAAAATCGAAGATACGGTAAATGATTGGAAATCGAAATTGCATTAATATAAAATGACCAGGGAATTTAAACAAAGAAACTTAACTTGCATTGAATCGAAATGACCAAGAATCGAAAAATGCATAAACATAAAATTGCTGAATATAAATTGCACCAAAATAAATTACCAAGGAAAATACAGAAAACGGTAAATGTACTCAATGAGCAAAGAAATCCAGATTGCCAGAAGCTTCATGATGTTCGTCGTTTCTCCAGTAGACTTTTCACTAGTGATTCTGTTCTCTGCCAATTTTCTGCCCTTTGTTCCTTCCTCCTTTGTTCTATTTATAGGGCATCATTCAAGCCTTCTAGGAGCAGTTGACAAACTGCTACCACGTTCTACGTGCATGTTGCAGTTTGTCTTCTACGGTTTCCCACGTTCTCATGATCTTCGACTTCTATTATGGTTTAGAAACTGCTTCCTATATGTGCGTTTGACTATTCTTCCTTTCACGGTTTGGCTAAAGTCTCGATGTCTGCGTAGGTTGGCTTTCTTCACTTTCGATTTCGATTGCGTTTCTCGATTTGCCACTAACAGAATGCCCCCTTGGAAGAATATGAATAGTTTCTGTTTATATTCTTTCAATATTTCTGCCTTAGTATTTGGGGCCCACAGAACTTAGGGTTTAGGGTTTCTGGGGTTCTAGGGTTTAAAGGGTTTTGGGTTTTCTTTTTTGCTTTATGTCGCCGTCTCGTCAGTCTGCTGCCTTACGGTACAAGCTACATTAATTGCCTTTCGCTTCCGTCGTTTCCAGCTCCCTAGGTGATTTTTCCCTTAATCTCTTCATTGGTCTTTACTCTGGTTTTTTACGCGAACCTTTACCCTTTGCAACTTCATCTTCTTCCTTGAGCTCTTGTCTTCATCCCTGCGCCTTCATCTCTTACCTTGCTTTTCTTCACCTTACCAGTTACTGAAATGGCCACTTCCTCTAAATCTTCTGACTTTTCCGCTCCACCCCTTCCTTCATTGGCATCGGACCTGCTGGAGATCAACAATCAGAAGTTCGCTCCAGTCCCTCGGATGGAGGAAGCTTCTCGGAAAATTGCTGAGACGCAGGTACTTATTCCTTACACTGCTGATGGTGTTAATTACGCTTTTGGGGGTCCTCTTCGCCTTATTGATGGAACATTTTCTCCCCTCAACCTCTCAAATAGTTCGGCTCTTGTACACCAATCTGAAGTTAGGATTGATTTCTTGAACCTTGTCTCTAAGGTGTATCGGACAGGCCCGCCTTCCAAAAAACCTTTGTACATTAGGTGGTTTGATAGAGTTAAAGCTAAATTCGGGGATCATTGGAGAAGCGTGGGAATTTTTGATTTTTTACACCTGTCCCGATGTGACTTATCTTATTTGGACATGGCTATGTTCTTGGCTGCCGTTCACTTGTGGAATAAGGAAATACATGTCCTGGAATTACCTTGTGGTCCTCTTTCGCCTACCCTTTTTGAAGTCGCGGCCATTACTGGATTAAAACCTATAGGGGAAAGATATTTTAAAGGTGCATGTCCCTCGGATAATTCTCTAAGATCTAAGATCGATTGGGAATCGAAAGCTTATGGGCATTTTCTTGAGAAACATTTCATCGATGATGAATCGATAATTGTAACTGATGAAGAGCATATCGCCTTTTTGGTGTATTGGTTGTGTACCCACGTTTTTTGCCCTCGATCGATCCAAATTTCCTCCCATCTATTTGACCTTGCATATCTCCTTCACCTAGGCCAACCTAGAATATGTTTGGCCAAATTTTTGCTAGCACATGTATATACTGCTTTCGACGAGGCCGTTGAAATTTTGAGTACTCCTAGAGCTTCTGGAAATTTCTCTGGCCCTATTTGGTTTATACAGTTGTGGCTAAATTCGATTTTTGAGAGCATCCTTCCCCCAACTTCTACCGTCCCCCCAAGATTAAATATAGAAAGGGCCCGATTGTCTTCTCGCCATCCTCACCAAAAGTCCGATGAAGCTGCTTATTGTAGATACCTCAATTTTTTGTTAACTAGAGTTAATTTCGATTCGACTTTGACTCCTTTTACCGTACATCTGGGGCGAATAAGTGACCAATTCAGGGGGCCAATTTGGTTTAAGTCGAAATTCCCTGCTTCAACTCCTGGGTTGCAATTAGAGTTGGTAGATATATGGAATAACTATTTAACTCATGATATACTAGTATCGGGTTTCCAATCCAAAGATTTCAAGTTCATTACTTACTACCCTCAACTTTTCTCGAGGCAATTTGGTCTGAGCCAGTCCTTACCCTTCTTCCCCTTAGATATTTCCCCAAGGTCCAAGTTAACTGAATCGACAATCGGACGGGAACTTGTCAAGTTTTTGCCAAAAACTCCGATGCATTTTTACCCCTATGTTTTTGAATCAAATTATTTATCGACTGTGGGTTTTTCTCAATGGTGGGCTATTTGGTTCTCGAGTAATCATGCTGCTTTTGACGAGGTCCGACAGAAATTGACCGCTCATCCTTCTTTTGTGTT